TATCTGGAAATAGATCAAATTTTTTAGACTATGAAGGAAACATCTTATGGTTTTATACTTGTACTAAAAAAGTATCACCACTATACGTTTTTGAAGATAAACGATGTTATAAAAGAATCCCTATCTTTTATAAGAATAAAGTACATTTCGTGGATACACTTTCACGAAGAACCTATTTCTGGGATACCGCAGTCCCATGTGGATCAGAAAATAGCCACAATGTAGTACAACTAAACCCTGATGAAAATAAATATTATCTTCTCACTCCATATCCCACATTAATGCAATCACTCAAAAAATTTTCACCAGAAAGCATTCGCGCTATTGCTCGAAACCCAAATATAGACTTACAATCAATAGGAATCTATTCAAAATCAGATATTCAACATCACATTAGAACACAACAATTCCAAGAATTATTAACACAAATGGACACTATACAAAGACAATCAATAGACCAAAATTTACGCAAACTTGCAGAAACCGCAGGATTTGCCGATATCTACACGCAAGACTATAGCGGATATTTTAAGGACATTAAAGATTACATATATCTAAACGGTGAAAAATACCGTCCCCAAGATATATCACCAATTAACATTTTTAGCTTTGTTACACTCAAAAATGAGATCCTCGATTTTCTAGGATGGCCCTACTACATCTTAGAAAAATTGACTATTTTATACGCAATGTTTAACTTTATTGGATTTCTTTTCTCACTTTTAAAAGGAATCTACAACACATGTGCTATACACACACAAGTAAACAGACAAGCAAGTGTAGCACGCATACTATTTGCAGGATTTTTTGGAATCTTTTCTACATCTATAAACAAAATTCTTTTAGACGCGCAAATAAAAGAATATAACACAAAAATAACAACACGACAAAATACATACGACGAAGAACATAACAATGTAGACATAACGCCAACGGCACCACAATTACCAGCCCTACCAAATAACCATCCACTATCCCTAGTCCCACGAAATTTTCGAAACTTAGCCATCACACATAATCCAAATTTTCGACTCACCACATCACAAAGTCCCATTCAACATTTAATGACACACCAGTCACAAGATGATAATACTTATGAACAAATTATTGAACAACCCCATACCACCGCTTTTCAGTCTCAAAATAATCATTTTTTTAGCCCACGATGAGCCGCCAACTTGGATCACTACACCGATCAAATTCCCACCCAACCAATCTTACCTCTCCAATCCCAATAATACCACTTTTTGCTTTTCCGCCACCCGATTTTCCATCTAGCAATGTAACATCAGGCATGAATTCCGACACTAACTCACACATCTCAGTTTTATACTCCATCTCACAGCTAAATAACCCGAATATTGAAACCCCCGATGAATTCGCCGACTCAGAACCATCCCCATCCAATAATTTTCATAACTCTTCTAATTTTTCTCAACCCCCTTTTCAACCCATATTATCCAATAACCCTGACCCAATTACTCCCACACCCTCTTATGCTTCCCAAGTTACCCCAACCTATTCCTCATACCATTCTGACCAATCATCTCATTCTCCAGACACCCCCCGAATCTCCCCAGAGCTAGATAATTTTATTACCCTTCAACAACAACCCTACCACCTTAATACCCCAACCATAAACCAAATCTCCTCCACAATAAATTCATCCAACCCCCCTACCCCTACACCCTCTTCAACTTATACTGAATCACTAGCACCATCATCCACATCAACTGAATCTTCACTCAACACTAATAGAGCTTACCGCACTTTTAAAAGAAAGTTCCCCAACCATCCTTTCCCAGCAAAACCAGGAACAGCCCGTGAATACATCAACCACCCCAAGCATACTAACACAAAAGAATTTTTAGCCATCACCTTACCCTCATTCCCACAATACACCTTAAACACCCCCCACGACACTAACGAAACACGCAACTTCGTAGATGAATACGTTTTAATGCCTACTCTCTCTTGGACCTCATATTATCATTTCACTAACCCTCTTTGCTTACCTTTATCTAACACTCACATCGATATAGAGCGAAATACGGACATGCTATATCGACTCACTACACCACTAACCGCTAGACAATTTACTTACGTTGGATATAAAAAATCACTAAAAACACACACTGCACCTAGAGCTAACGAATATACACTCGAATACTATGATCACAACATCATCAGAGCTAACCAAGATCAATTCTTAGACGACGATCGCTTCGCTAATCCACAAATTACCGAGAAGTTTTTCATCAAGACACCATATACATTCACACTAAACATCTTCGATCGAAAGTTTGATCACATTATTTCAGAAGCACTAACAGACACACAAGCATACGAAAGTTTTAAAGAACGCTTCCAAATATTTTCACTAACCTTTCATTTCCTTGCACCACACGAAAGAGATTTACACTGCTCACATGATATTATGTTGCGCACTAAACAAACCCACACATATAGTTATTATCGTTTCATCCAAAATCACTTTGACCTACACACACCCTCTAGACAACCACACCATCGTTTTCAATTCATTAATTCCAAATACACTTCACCATTTTTCCTAAATTTCACATATTGTATTAAAGACACTAACCTCCATGGTATTCTTCGTAATTATGACCCCATAACCCAAATGTACATCTTCTGTCCCATTACCAAGACCTTCAACGCCGAAGAATCCCGACCCTTCCTTATCCCGCACGAGTTTGTACAACCCATAGAAATCCCAATTTTAGAATTCATCCACAACACTAAATTCAATCACAAATTATATAACTTAATCCAAAACACACCTTATGAGTTTGCAGTTGGCACTGAAGAACTAACCACTATTAAGGCACTTCAATTGCTTTGGCCACTGCTTCAGACTAAAAATATCATCCGCATCTTAGCTAAACTACTAACAACTTCAGAACTAATTCACGACATCTTCCCCCACGGTTTTTTCCCCGACGACTAACAGGTAAGTATGAATTAAATGAATATAACTAACTAATTAAAATATTAAAAAACTCACCATACTTTATTCATGTTTTCTTTAGATTTTTAGCCTTCATCCGACGATCACCTACAAAAACCACAAAAGACAAATAAAAATCGCAAATTTCATCAAACAGATTTCAAAAATTCTATTAATCTCTTACACTTATAAATTTATAAATTTAATACCAATGCAGTAAATTCATTTCTAAAAATTTTCCCCATAAGCAGTAAATCTAATTATGATGAAAATTTGTGTCTTAATATTCCCCCATGACTAGCAGTAAATTTCTAAATTATATGTAGTAAATTAAATAAATGCAAATGCAGTACTAACCTTTTGATATTTTCATTCATTCGCACAGAAATTCTATCCACACTCGCACAGCTCGCCCACGAAGAATTGTTTAAAATAATGAATTTCAGTTTCAAGTTTTCACACTCAACAACTCTAACATATAATAACATGTTTCAAACTTTCCTTTAACCCGGTTGGAAAGGAATCATATACTAAACAAAACTAACCAACGCAGCTTACTAAATACCACAAATCATAGAATAACAGCATGACTAAGAAAAGGAAACCAACGGTACCCAAACCGGATTAACCCAGTTTAAAACTGGATAATTTATTCTTTTGAAGACTATTATAAAGTCTAAGAAAGAAATAATAAAACACAAAAAAGTCAAAAGACAAACCCATACCACAAACAATTTGCTTTTTGGAAAAAGTACATAACCAACAAGACATAAGTAAGACCACAACAAACCCAACATAAAACGTTGTCACATAACAGGACCCCTCACAAAAACCGCATGAAATCATACTCCCACTCCTGGCCTAACCCACCAGGAAGGACGTCCTGAGCATGCTCTATAGCCGGCCTAACCCACCGCGCTACATCCACGCTTTGTGACCACACCACTATTTTTAATAAGAGCTACTCAAGTGTGAGTAACTCTTCAAAATAACCGAACTAAAACAAAAAGCTTTTGTGAAAACAACTAACTAAAATCATTATTAAAAAATATTAAACTAATAAAAGTTTTATAAAATGTAAAATCACATGATGCAATATATAGATCAGAATACAACACCAAGGACGAACATCAAAAGACAAGACGACCCCACTACACTCGAGAGAGAATGACCAACTACAATCGATATGCCGCTCACAATCACAACTCAAAGGATTTAGAGTACGACTTGACCTCGCAGAAAAGGACTTCATTGAACTAGACCAATGACCACCTCGATGTTCAAGTATACGTACAGATCCGAGTAACCAGGCATCCCCTCCACGCACAATCTCCACGCCATTCCCAAACTAGATCATACACAAAAGAAGTTCTCCACGCAGAACAGAAAAACCTGACATAGCAAACCATTCTGAAATCAGATTTGAGTTTGTTGCAAAGACGTAGTCGTTGTCACTAGAAGACACAACGTCTTATGTCTCTAACTCCAGCTTCCTGGAACTTCCCTAACAAAAGAGGAAACGGAAGAAAATTATGATGTTCGCCAAAAACAAACGTCCATCATCCATCCTTCGAATTGCAGAAGAACAATTCTAAAAAACTCTGTAAAACCCGGATGGGTGGAACCTGATCTAAACTACATTTTATGATTGGATAAATTAAATGTTTTACCAATGTAAAGTATTTAATATTAACCAATCATGATCCATCTAACTAACAACCCACTTATTTGTAAGTGCTGAAGTTACTTGTAATTTCAGCACCAGAGAGATTTGAATTTAACTTAGAAATTAGTTGGACTCTCCCGAGCACTTCAGCAGCCGCAATAAACCAGTATACCCTAGATCTATTGAGCCTAGCAGAGACTAGTTAAACAACCTGAGACTAGATAGTATAAGAGTAAGATTAGGATCGGTATTAGACTAAGAAGTTGCACGAATCTATCCGGCCGAAAATAAGATAGCGTGACGAGCAGACGGTGTACCCTATCCGAAATTACTCTATGAGTTACACTTCGGTCCTAACTCAGTTGCGCAGAAATTTTCAGCAAAAATTTTTAAAGTAATTTTGGAAAACCTCGAAAATCAGATTTGGTCAACCTAAAACTGCTTTAAGAAAGAAAAGATCCTAAAACCCCATCCTAAAAGATTCTTCTGTGGATGACAGCCCAACTAAACTTTTTTGAAAAGCAGTCCATATGGACGTATGTTATTCTCTTGTGCCGTGACAAAGTAGTCTTTTTTCTTGACGTGAGTCGTATCTTCCATGTTAACTCGACTCTGGATGAGAACTTTGTAGGTTGACCCCTTATAATCAAACACCTTTGCGTACTTCTCGGCAATCGCGGGGTCGGGAGTGCTGAAAATTCCGCGTCCATGCAGAAACCGTTTACCTTTTTCGAGGTCAAAATCGTTTTCTGATATCTCTTTGGTAGCATCTTTCCCAGTTCCGTGATAAGAAACCGGCCATTCACCTGGTTTAGATGTCGCTCTTATCCCTCCATCGGTACCTCCGAGCCAAATGTTGTCCGAATATTTATCCTTAATTTTGAAAGCTATTCTGTTCCACCCATATGGTCTTTTGTAAGTCCATTCACCTCTTTTGAAAACAGCTCCGTCGTCAGTTTTGTTGGTGAAGTCATAGTTGTATTTTGCATCGAGAACAGAAGAGTCGAGAAATGATTCATTAGGGTGAAAACGCATGCGCAACACAAGGTGCAAATTTGACTCCTTTTGGATATTATAGCCTCCCAATGTCCCACCTTGTTCCAACTGCTTGCCAGCGAAAATTAGCCGTTGCTGATCAACCGGAATTCCCTCTGAAAAAAAATCCAGGTATGTCTAATGATTTTCTCAAATGAGTTTAAAAATGTTTAAAACTTTTTCAGCGCTCCAAGTCGAATTTTTCAGCGCTGCGGGTAACATTCGCAACGCCTTCCTTTAAAAGACATATAGGCGCCCAAAAAACTGTTTGTTAAATTGCGCAACAATATTAGTTTTTGGCTTGTTGGAATTGTAATCTTATGATTGGGTGGTTGTCTTACCGTCTTTTCCGTTACCGGTGAACTTTGTTGAAAATATTGATCCAAACAAACCTTTTTTTTCAATTTTCTGATGGATGGCACTGACAGTATCCTTGGACGAGTTGTTTCCGATGGAGATAAGTTTTCCAGTCAAGGTTTGCGCATACACTGTAAAGCCACCATACTTTTTCGCCGTTGAATATGACCTGTTTTCTGCTAATGTTTTTTCATCGGGGATGTTTACCCATGACAAAACATGTTTATGAACAGCATCAATGTTTTCATATTTCAATTCACCAGCACCGCTCAAATGCGAAATTGCTGCACCCAAAAAGTTCGTGTCTTCTGCGAGATCCATTCAAACTCTAATTTTAAGCATAACACAACATTAACAAAGTTATCCATTGGCTGTGCAACTCGTGCTGAATATTCTGACTACAGTACACATTTATTGAATTATGCAAAAAAAAATATGATCCCATCCTTTTTTTGTTAAATAATATGTTTTTTGGGGGGAGGGGTAGTTTTTGATGTTCCATTTTGTTTTTGTCATTACCGAGATCATTTAAACCCCTCAATCACGCTTCCTGGGAAATATAGTCAGGAAAAAAAAATTACCTACGATTATGAGAAATTAATTTGCTTCAGTTTGAACTTTTAACGAATTCCACAAATGCTAATGTTTAAAATCCCTATGTGTGAGCAAAGGGAAAGACTCAAGACGAAAATAAGAGCCGGTGGCCCTACAGAGCTGCAAGGCGTTCTAAGCGATCACTTGCTACCTTCAAACTAAAGTAAAGTTGGTAATAAAAAGACGGCTCAAAACTCCTCGACCAATTGAAGTTTTTGGAACTTATGTGACTGATTTTTTTCTTTTCGGACTTATGAGTGACCACTGAAATCGTCTCTGCAGTTTTATAAACCAACCAAAATTTATCAACCAACTAATTTTGCAAATAACAATCCGCAAAGTGTCACTCGAACTATTTTATAAAAATGGACGATGACTTCAAACTGATATTGTGATTTGTTTTTGTTTGATATCGTGAGTGTATCGACAAAATGTACTTTATTTTTGTAGAAAATTGAGATTCTTTTGTAGCATGGTTTGTCTTCAAAAACATATGAAGGTGATACTTTTTTGGTACAAGTGTAATACCATAAAATATTTCCTTAATAGCCAAGGTAATTTGATCTGTTTCCGGGTTATAAATGTCCTGCACAGGATAAATTTAGAACTGCTAAAACGATTGATTTTAGAATTTGTGTTCTTTCAAGTTCGCATAATTGATGTAGTGTTTCTAATTCTGATAGGTTTATTTCTTGAAAATATCTGCTTATTGTGTAACCTAATTTCATATCTAAGTGTATGTCATAAAGAATTGCACCCAAATAGGTGTTGTTCATTAGTGATAGCTCTTGTAAGCGTGTACTTTCTTTATTTTGTGGTTTTATTTTTCCACCAATGTTTCCTGTGTTTTTAAGGAGGTTTTTTGGTATATATGAAATTTCGTCATTTGTTGTATGATGTGATGCATGTGGGTTTTTTTATGACTTTTCCTATATTCATGTCGAAACCTTATTCATATTCAACACGAATTTCTGAATAACTGTGTTTAATAGAAAGGTTTATTATATTTGCATGTGAGTTCTGTTTCTGGATAAATTCGGACGATGACTTCAAACTGATATTGTGATTTTTTTTTATGTCGAAAAAATTTGCACCAGGCGGTGTCATTGACTTTGAAAAAAATACACCTTACCAGTATTAGCGCGAGACCAATTGCCTGGTCTCAGACAAAATAAGGGTACGAAAAATAGATGTAACGTAACTTATTCAAAGATATCCAATCCCTCGCTAGAATCCAAATCATGGCAAAAAACTGCTTTATTATGATAGAACCCTGAGTTAGGGCTGATGTTCATAACTCCTAGAGTAATTTCAGATAGGGAACACCGTCTGCTCGTCACGCTATCTTATTTTCGGCCGGATATATTCGTGCAATTTCTTAGTCTATTACCAATCTTAATCTTACTCTTATATCTCCTAGTCTCAATAGATCTAGTGTACACCGGTTTGCGCGAGTTAGTTTCAGAATGAAATGACTGTATTCTAAGATTAATTCAAGCTGTTCTGGTGTTGAAACTACACTTAAAAAGTTTGATTGAGTATGATTGGTTAGTCTTCAATATTTTATAGAGATAAAATGTATGAATAATAACCAATAATAAAATCTAGTTTGAATCTGGTTCCATCCATCCGGGGTTTACAGAGTTTTTGTTCTTTGACATTTTTCTGGAATGGAGGATGGATGACGATCGTTGGTATGTCGCGAGCATCATTTCTTTTCCGTTCTGGAAGAAGGGTGTTTTATCCATCTGTTCCAGGTAGCTGGAATCGTTGATATCAGCTTGTCCTTCGACGACGACTGCGACCACCAATTGTTGCTGTTGTTTCCGGAGATCGGATTGTGATTTCTGATTGGTTTGTTATGATCATCCGTTCTTGCTTTGTAGAGAACGGTGTTCCAATCTCGTTTGGGAATGGCGTGAAGTTTGAGCTTGAGGGGGGTGCGTTGTAACTCGGTTCTGTACGTATACTTGAACATCGAGATAGCCATTGGTCTGGATCAATGGAGGTTCTTTGCTGCGATGCCAAGTCGTACTTCAAATCGTTTGAATTGTGACTGTAGGCAGCATATCTGTTGTCTTTAGCCATTCTGTAGTTTGAGTGTGATCGAGTCCTTAAGTTCCTTGATGCTCGTTTTTGGGCTTCCTTTAAATCTATTATACTGCATTGTATCATTTACATATATAAGTTTTTGTTAATTTTGTTTTTAGTTTTTATTTTATATTAATTTTTTTTTGCAAAAGCCTTTTTGTTTAGTTCTGTTAATTTTAAAAATCTACTCACCCTTGAGTAGCTCTCATCAAAAATTGGGAGTGGGTCATAAAGCTTCGATGTAGCACGGTGGGTTAGGCTGGCTATAGAGCATGCTCAGGACGCTCCTCTTTGTGGGTTAGGCCAGGAGTAGCGTATGATTTCATGCTAGTTTTTTTGTCCTTTTTTGAGTTAACCTTTTATGTCTTTTTTATTACTGGTTTTTTCTTTTGTTTTTTTGGTTGTGTCCTTTTCTCAAAAATCGAATTGTTTGGTTTGCGTTTGACTTTCGACTTTTTGGTGTTTAAATCGTTCTTTTTTGGACTTATGAATAGTCTTCAAAAGAATATATTATCCAGTTCTTAAGCTGGTTTGATCCGGTTTGGGTACCGTGGGTTTTTTTTCTTAGTCATAGTGTTAGGTTGTGATTTGTGGTGTTTAGTAAGCTGCGTGGGTTAGTTGGGATTATTATATAATTCCTTTCCAATCGAGTTAAAGGAAAACTTGAAAATTGTTAAAACTGGATAGAGTTGTTCTCAGTGAAATTTTAAGCTCAAATTCGCTATTTTAAACAATTCGTTGTGGGCGAGCATTGCGATTATAGATAGAGTTGTAGGCAAGTGAATATTATTTAAAAGCATCTTCAAAAAGGTTAGTACTGCTTTCATTTGTATATTTTTATTACTAAAAATTGCAATTTTACTAATTTGTGGGGCTTGAAATTATCAATTCAATTAGATTTACTGCATAGGTGAAAAGAGTTTATACATCAATTTAATGCTGTTTGAAGGTACCGTTACTGCTTTATTCATTGCGATTTGTTAATGGAAATTTATAAATAATGAAAAAAGTTTCTGTTTTTTATTTGTTTTTTCTTTTTGTAGATGATTGTGCTCTAAAGGCTAAAGAAAAAAATAACATTTGACGAAGAATTTCTTTGTTAGTTTTATTTTGAATTTGTTAGTTCAACTTATTCAATTCATAATACCTTATTGATCGGGAAAAAATTCATGGGGGAAAACATCGTGAATGATTTCTGATGTGGTTAGTTTTTTTGCTAATATGCGAATGATGTTTTAGTATGAAGCAGTGACCAAAGCAATTGAAGTGCTCTGATGGTTTTTAATTCTAGTTCTTCAGTGCCAGGTGCAAGTTCATACGGTGTATTTTGCATAAGGTTAAAAACTTCATGATTATATTTTGTTTCTTTTTTGTATTAATTCTAGTAATAGGACCTCGATGGGCTGTAGGAATTCATGTGAGTCAATTAGTGGGCGGGATTTTTCTACATTAAGGGTCTTGGTTAAGGGACAGAATATATACATCTGGTTGATGGGATCATAATTTCGGAGGATGCCTTGGAAGTTAGTATTTTTAAAACAATATGTGAACTTAAAAAAAATGGTGAAGAGTATTTGGAGTTAATAAATTGATATCTATGGTAAGGTTGTCAAGATGGTGTATGCAAAGTGTAATGTTTCTGTATAAATCTGTAGTAAATGTATGTATGTGTTTGATTAGTACGTAACATGATGTCGTGTGAACAGTTCAATTCATGTTCTTTGGGTGTGAGAAAATGAAAGGCTAGAGAGAAACTGTTAAACTTATTATAATAAGATTCATAAGCTTGGATATCACAAAGTGCGTCTGAGATGATGTGATCATATTTTTTATCTAAAGAACTGAGAGTAAAGACATAAGGTGTTCGGATGAAAATCTTTTCTGTTAGTTGCGGGTTAGCAAACTTATCTTCATTAAGAAAGTGATCTTGGTCAGGTCGGATGATCTCATGATCATAATATTCGATAGAATAATCATTAGTTTTAGGTGCGGTGAACAATTTTGATAACTTTTGGTATCCTAAGTGTGTGAATTTTCTAGGGGTTATTGCTGTAGTGAGTCGGAAGAGGTAATTTTTACTCTTTTCAATTTCTTGTGGTGTGTTAATTATTGATAAACAAAGTGGGTTTGAGAAGTTATAAAATGATTTCCAATGGAGGGTAAGAATTAATACATGCTCATCGAGGTAGTTTGGTTGTTCGTGATTTGGGTCGGAATAGGCAATTGTATATTGGGGAAAGGAGTGAAAACATATTTGAAGGTTTTCTTTAGTATTTGTGAGGTTAGGATGATTAATGTATGCTCGTGCTGTTCCGGGTTGAGACGGAAATGGGTGATTTGGGAATTTCCCTTTGAATGCTCTCTAAGCGAGGTTCGTACTGGATGAAGATTGGTTGGATTTGGAAGATTGGGCTAGAGAAGGGGTGTAATTTGAAGAGGGTGTGGGAGTTCGTGGGTATGATGATGTTATGGATGATGATAGTTGATGAATGGTTAGGGTTTGAGAGTGTTGCAATTGTTGTTGAAGTGTTATTAGATTGCTTAATTCATATGATGTTTGTGTGTCATCTGGGGAACTATTGTTGGAGCGTTCACTGATGAAAGATGAGTACGTGGGTGTCACCTTTGAAATATGAGAGGGAG